CAATGGTTACAAAAAATTTTCCACCAATTCTTCAACAGCGCTATCTCCGTGAATTCGTATATACACATTCACTTCCCTGACTCATCCTTCTGAATGAGACAGCTGCCAGAGCAGACCAGCATAGGAAGATACGTGGTTTACTCTACTGTCGAGGAAATCGAGAGAGTGGCCTTTAGTGGAGTGGCGTCCTAGTGAAACGACATATGCATTCGGTAACATCCACAATTGACGAAGGAAACTTTAGAGCAATGAACGGTCGGCTCATAATGTTCCATTTAGTACTTGGAACCGATATTTCTCCAAGAGCAGCTTATAAAGTAGAGAAGCCCTATTCCCCTACAACACCAGATACTAAGGTAGAAAGTTCAGTCCCCTGGCAGGAGATTTTAAAATGCTAGGCGCCCGGCACCTCTCAGCGGGTGGCGCCTACAACCCGCTAGGTAACAAAAAAAAAAAACAATTAATTAAATATAATTTCCAGCGAGAATTCCTTCATTCCAAGGCCCATTTCCTTTAAGTCATAATGTAGGCTCACACCCGGGGACAGAAGACTGTAATATAGTCTTGACCAACAGGGTCCTGTAACCTATACCATTGCTGAATCTTCCTGGTGAAAACGTTGAATCAACCCACATCCCTGGTTAATAACAACAACTGTCAGGCCTTCGTCATTAGAATCACCCACTCCTCCGAAACCAACCTGAAAAACTTTGGATTGTGACCCCTTCAGGGACTACCCTTACTGTTTTTCGCTTGAGAACAGCCTTCAACTGCAACGGACGAGGCCAATTAGCTTCCTTTCCTTGATAATAATCATAGAGCACTCAGGCAAAGTTGCCAAGTAAATACTTCAAAGCTCTATCAGCAATATAACCAACCAGCGGAAAATTAAAGTGACTGCATAAAAATGATCAAGCAGAGTGGTATAAAAGGCAAACACCAAACGAGACAGACCCACCGGGCTATACGGCTAGAGGTGGAGAAGAGAAGTAATGACCCTAATCACACAACACAAATTGAATTATGGAATTATCTTGTATCTAGCCTAATCAATTCAAAAGCCATCCTGAAAAGTTCTGGATCAGAGTGCCGCCAAACTTCTGGGGGCAAAGCACAGCTTACCACATTATCTAATTCATCGCCTTCACCGATTGACGATGATGAGGACGTTGATATCAAACATGATGACCCAAAAGATCAAGCCAGTCGGATGGGGAATGGGTGGGAGAAAATTACATATAAATAATAACTAATTTACAGTGGGGGGGTCAGCGAAAATGAGAGACACCGAGCTGACCTCCCAAACCATACCACTAAGTGATACATCTACCCTTGAAGATGAACGCCCCCTTAACATGACCATTCACACTCAGGGAGATTTCACGAAGTCATAGGCAGATATGAGTAATAAAGCCCCTGGTCTCTCAGGTTTGACAGTGAAACAAAAGTAAAGATCTACCCAGAAAGGCAAAATGTGCCCCTAAATAATATCTATCTTCAATGCTGTCCCTTGGGCCTCGAGACAACTTTCCTGTGACACATTAAAGACAGCAAGGGAGACATGCAAATTGCAAAACCCAGCAAAGACTAACATTAACCGGAGAACTATAGACCCGAGCTCATTACTTGATGTAACTGGAATGTCCTTGAAAAATAATTTCCAACATATTAAACTATTACATGGAGGTACTATCAGCGCTCACTGAAAAACAGTTTTGGACCACGACCCACAGAGGACCATCAACAAGCTATCAATTCATTCCTTCGATGCTGCGGACAAGCCTGAGGACAACCCTTGTTCTTATTGGAACCCAGAATGTACACCTAGCCTTTTGAACAGCCTGAGGCAACGACGGACTCAAAAATATATGAAACGTCGACCGCCGACCACAACTGGACTTTCTTCAGCTTCATATACAACTTCTTATCAAAAGAAGAATCCCTTCCCTAGCTCCCTCCCTCAACCCGGGTTCAATGATACTATTATCACCTAAATTCCCTGGGATTACCACGTTGTGTCCATCCTACCCCCGTACGGGGAAACATAAGCATGCGAAGTAATATAAAGTAATACGGAAGCTACGAAGAACAGCAAACTGGAAGAAAGAAATGGAGAATCACGGCCAACGCAGATAACGTCACGCGATCTCTAGTAAATCCTCATATCTGGATGGTCTTTTGTCAATAACAATAAGACAAAGAGGGGGGGGAGCATATCTCCATCAAGGTATACCTAAAATTGCCTTCAGAATCCCCAGAAGCTCCTAGGATACGAGATAGAGGAGAATTACCACCCCCCCACTCCGCATCTGACAGTTCGAATAATAATCACCTTAGCCAAAGCCCACCGCAGCAAACTATAAACAGGTTTAAATCAAGCTCCTTCCCACCTCAAGAAACACCTGCAGACAAGAAAGCCGGTGTACCTGTCAGTAACAACACTAAAATCAACATGCTACAGCTAAAAAAATGGTCCAATATAGCAACCCCCCTTTTTCACAGCACCAAAGTAAAGACAACAATCAGGATGGAAGAAATCTTACACACCGTACAGGAAGATAGATGCAATAAAGCTAACTTGATAAACCATACAAGAAACAACTATGGACATGCCAAGAGAAACCCCCTCAGAGAAAATCTCCCAACCAACAAACACCTACCGACTACATCATCATCCCTTCCCACAAAACCCAAAGAATGTCCCTCCAA